CAGAAAATAAGATTGAAGAAAAATGTGCAAAGAAAAATACAAATAAAGTCTAAAAAAGATCTAGAATTAAGAAAAGAAAAGAAAAGAAAAGAAAAAGAAAAGAAAAGAAAAGAAAAGAAAAGAAAAGAAAAGAAAAGAAAAGAAAAGAAGAGAAATGCTTGCTATACGGCATAGCTAGAAATAAAATCACTGTCAGTTTTAATGTACTTATTAAAATTTTTGGCGGCCACATAGCGTATCATAGCGGCGTACGTGATCTTGAAGAAATAATGATAGATTTATTTTTGACATGTTAGTTATTGGATCAATGATGGTCCGGGTTTAATAACTATTTTTTTCCTAAGGGGGGTATTATAATGGACGAGTGGGCTTATATTTAGTCTCCTCCGCAGCCGTCATTAGTTTCGGTCCCAGATCCTCACGGGCCCTCTCTAGGGCTGTCCAACAAAAGTTGTTATCGTGTGATAGTGTGACGAATTTCTTGACCAATCAGCGCGCGAGATTTTCTATAATCACCTGCGTATTTTTACTAATTTCTGTTATTGGGCCTGATAATTTGCCAGAACTAGAGTAAAATTACAAACAAGAGTCATATTTGCTCAATATATTAAAAAAGTTGCTCATATGGAAAAAAGTCGCCCGTGACTGAAAAAGTTGCTCAAAATCGTAAAAGTTGCTCAAAAGTGGACAGCCCTAGCCCTTTACATAACGCCGTTAGTGATGAGGGCCCGTGAGGATCTGGGACCGAAACTAATGACGGCTACGAAGGAGACTAGCTTATAACCAGAGGGCTCATAACTGGAAGGGTATTAATGGCGAGTGGGCTTATAACCCGAGGGCTTATAACTGGGAGTGTATGAATAGATTAGTGGGCCTATATCACCATCTTAGTAGACTAGAGGAAAAACTGGGTCGACGTTTATTTCGTACCCAGTCTCACAATGAACTACAACGTCAACTCAAACTAGTCTTTTCCCCAACATTGGAATGACTTATAAACGTTGATTTAAAATAAATAACAAAATAAAAATTGGGTGTCCTGAGCTCGTTTCCAAGATAGTGAAATTGGAATATTATCATGATCTTGGCAAGTTTTCAATCGGTACAGAAAACAAGCAGTTTGCACAAAGGATTGATAAATCGAGCGAAGACAAACAGTTATAGAGATAATTTTCTCAGAAAATCAAACTCTTCAAACATTATTTTCAATATGTCACGAAAAATACTAGAATAATAATAGTTGAGAATAGTATTTTTACACAGGTAAACATTACGCACATTGGTTACAATTTACGTCTTATGCTGTCATATTCACCCACAGGTGAATATGACAAGCGCACGCGCACGCTCGTTTGTCTATACATGTACGTGCTGCTTGCAGAGATAATAGAATTTGAGCAAATAAACTCTCTGTTATTTATTAAATTCACTTGTAATAAAAATGCTAAGGCAATTATTAGTTGAATACAAAGTGAATATTGGGAAATATTTAGTTTTTTTGAATAGTAATAACAGCATTTCTAAACGCTCACACGCGCTCATCAAGATGACGTCAATGAAATACTTTGATGGGCAAAACATCAAGACAATTTTTTCACTTCTTCAAAATAAAATCGTTGACCTCCATTTCTTTTTATAGCTTTTTAAAAATATGTTATAACACCTAACTTTATAGGGAAAAAAATTAAGAAATATGATCATGGCATCATATCAAAATCACATACATACTTTGTGCATAATGAAATTTCATATAATGTAACTTCAGCACTGGCATGGTACTGATGGTACAAAATTAAGAGAGAATTCTTTTCGTATTCAAGCAGTGAGCGCAAAAAACTATTTTCTTGAAGAAGGGCTGTTGTACAAGGCTAAAATCTTGTTATTCAGAAAGTTTGACTTGTTTGGAAGTGGAGATGACCGATGAAAGTGGAATCAAAGTGTTAACCCTAAGCAAAAATTTCATTTGAAAATGAGGTTTAGGCCTTCATTTGCTTATTTCCCATATATTTTCTATAAAAAAGCCTGACAAAGCAACATTCTAACACAAATGCAACAAAACATCTTTGTTCAATTGAAAATACCGTTTCAAACAGGCATTTCATCATAATACATCAGTTTCTAACTGTTAAAAAAAGGTTTTGAGTGTTAACCCAAAACGAAAATTGGGATCAGAACTCATACGAAGGTAAGTTTTTGGCGCTTTTTACAATTATTGCTCGTTATTGAAAAAATTCCCTTTAATATGAAATAGAAATAAAGTAAAATAAAATAAAAATCAGTCACTCGCTCACTCAAGATGTTAGCAGATCGATAATTCAATGTTTATCGATCGTTTTACGTCATCAGTTGGTGTTACGCGAAACTTCGTATAAACACGAAGTTCCTATTCTGTGAAGGGTTGAGATAAGCATACAAAGGTTTGTTCAAATCTTATTAATGAAAACGAACTAAAAATAATTCTGTATATTAGGTCTAATAACTTGAAATATATAGAAAAAAAAAAACCACAATGACAACAGAAAAAGAACCGTTACATTTTTAAATAATTCATTACAAAGAGATGGAGAAGAAGAATTAGAAATGGCATAAAACCATCACTGGCTTCATGCTATTCATATAATTATGTAGTAATTGTAGCAAAACTCATTACACTTATATTTATTCCATTTAATCCCAATTTATTCAATTCAATGTCTATGCGCATGCAAATCTATGACATACAATCCACAATGAATATAATTCAGTACAAAATACATTCAATGCAATACAGTAAAAACCCGCGTATAAGAACCTAGGTTTTTTCAAGTTAGCCTAAACAGGTTCTTACATAAATGGTATTTAGTGTTAAATTAGGTTCTTAACTTTTGTTCAAGAAATAAAGTAGTAATTTTGTAGTCTGGTCTTTGTTCTACAATGGACTGTACAGTATTCCAATATTAAATTCATGTACTGTGATTTCATAAAATCAAAGGTTCATCTCAGTTTCATTTTAACTTGGATTTTTTTATTCAATGAGGACATGTTCTTTACAGTAACCATGTACAGTTATAGTGTTTATAGCATTATTGTGTACAGACTGTGTTGTAAATATATTTTTGAAAAGATTGATTCTATTTTTTTAAAAATAAGAACCTGTTTTAGGATTTTAGACTAAAATGGTTCTTATGTGACGGGTGCTTAAAAATGAAATTTTAGCCTAACAGGTCCTTAAATTTTRGGTTCTTATACGCGGGTTTTTACTGTACCTGGATTTCTTCTCTACATTCAATCTGAAAATTTGCGTAATATATTCAATCAAGAGAATATGAAGTATTTAATTTATTCTTGATTCAATTCAATCCTAAAACACTTTCAATCCCAGCGGATCGAATGGGATGCGGTTTGGGACATACACCATAGGAGACTAAGACTAGTCTCAGTTGGGTGTCCTGTGGTAAATAGTATAGGAGAGACTGGGTATTTCCCGCCTTCTGTGTCAACAAGACCCATGCTGCGATTCATCACCGGTACCCAATAATATCAAGCCTCAAGACTTCGTCATAAATCACTGCAAATCTAGATTTTTCAAATGTGGTAGTAGGTAATGCCTCAAACATCCAAGGTGCATCCGGGATTTGCAAAGTTGAAATCAACGAAAACTCAACAATAGAAAAAATCTTAACAAGTTTTTTTTTGCAGTCGCATGCAATTATTGAGTCTTCATAAACGTCAATAGCAAAAATATTATAATCCTTAGGGTTAATCCCATTCAACAGGACACATTGAATAAATTTACCTTTTTGATCAAAAATCTTCAGTTCGCTGTAGTTATCGGGTACGTAAAAGATATCTTTGTGATACACAGCTCTTCCAGAGGGATTTTCAAGGTTACGTTCACCAAATCTAAACTGAAGTTCATCCTTATCTGGGTGGAAGACCAGAACTTTACACGGCTTGATGGCTTCTTCGTTTTGACTCGTTGTCAAAATTATTCGGTTATTTTCATCCAATGAAATAAACTTTACATTTTCATCTAAGCGTTTTGACTTCCTACAATGTCCATCGAGGCTATAGTTCAGTAATTGTTTGTCTATGCGATCCAGCACAAGAATAATGTCATCTTCAATGGAGAAATAAGCATCATATAAATGATTAGCTGGAGCTGAATCGAGTTGTATGGACTTAACGTGTTTTCCATGTATTGTGAAGATATCAAACTTTTTCTCTTCACTACGAAGAATTCCTATATTGATTCTATCATGACTTTTCGAAATAGCGATACTTAAAGGCTCAAATGTAAGATTTATAGTCAAGAAATTGTCATTCTTAAGTCCTTCTTCGGCTTTTTGGACTTTGTTTACATTTGCCTTCCTCACGGATTTACTCACACTTCCCAGGAGATTGCGCTCTGCAAACATTTTCATGTTTTTCTCAAACTTTAGAGTATCATCCCCCTCGATGCCTTCTATACTTATATTACGCTCAAGAATTTTCCTAGAATGATCTTGAAGATCGATAACCAAGACTTGCTTCAATTCTTGAATATCTTTCAGACTGTTATTCTTCAAATGTTCCTGAACATTCTTCGCACAAACTTCTGCTTGTTTGATTCCCTCTAGAAGTTTTTGCTTTCGCCTTTTTAATCTTAAGATCTCGAAACTCCATTTCGTATCGTCTACTTCGGATAACAGCCGATTTTTCTGCTCTTCTATAACTCGTTTTAGTTTTCTAGCATGTTCTGATACCTCGTCCTTAATCTCTTGTGCTCGCTTCGCATGTTTTTTGGTTGCCTCAACTATTAGTTTATCTATCGACTCGACAGTCGCTTTTCCATCGTTCAATTTATCTTCACAATCCTTAAGCGCTTTTTCCAGCTCTAGCTTCTCTTTTCTCCCTGGAATAGTTTCCACCATTCTCTTCATTAGATGGCTTGTAGGGAATACATTCACTCCTCCTTCAGGAATCCTAGATTTCATCTTGCAAATTGGGCATTCGATGAACTGATCGTCTGAATTGGCAGCCATTTTTTCAAGGCACACCTTACATATAATATGTGCACAAACTGGTAAAGATTTGGGATCATCTAGCTCATCATAGCAAACAGGACAAGACAGGTCGTCCTCATGTACAGGGATTTTATGGAACATAGACGATTGAGCAGCAGCCATTTTATATATTTTTAAAAAATTTTCTTGGAAATACGGCGAAGAAGCGGAAGCAAATATACCGCCTCAGTCCCACTTGTTAATAAGTACACAGGTAACCCATCTGCTGCGAAAATTAAATTGAGAAGAACCATAAGCCGTGTCTTAGCCATTTAGAGCCACGTCTAACAACAAACGAGTAACAGACAGACATGAGACAGACAGACACAGGCAGGCAAACAGACAGACAGACAGACAGACAACAAAAAATAACCTGCTGAAAAGAAAAACAACTATAAAATAAATAAAACTACCAAAAAACAAGCAAATAAATAAAATAAATAAAACGAAGATATCGTTCTTAGGTCATTCTGGTCGTAGATGGCAGACAAGAGAAAGAACTGGGTTCTATTACCGAGTATTTAACGATTGGGCTTCCTGTGGTCTACTTCCTGTTGTTTTTCCCGTCTTCGTTCGTTTAAAGACCTTTAAACGATGGCCGAATCAAAACTGCTAAGCATTTCTCTGCAAGAAGATGAATTATGTTGTCCTGTGTGTTTCGATGAACTCGAGGAGCCAAAAGCTTTGCCTCAGTGTCTTCACAACTTTTGTAAAAAATGCTTGGAGAGTATCAAGAGGGCTGGAAATCGAAATCAGTTGATCGAGTGTCCAACTTGCCGAGTCAATTCTGTCTTACCCGAAGGAAGTGTGGATCGACTGCCTACAAATCATTTTTTGAAGAGTTTGGTTGAAAGGATTCCAGGAAGAAAAGAAAAGTTAGAACTTAAGAAGATCGTACAAGAGTGCGAAAGCAACTTCGTGTTCTGTAAAGCAAAACTTCAAGAGAAAACTACCTCATTGAAAATCTATGAGCAAGAACTTCAAAGATTGCTTCAAGTAAGAAGAGACATTTGTGATCATGCCAAATATCTTATCGATATAATCCAAGAAAGTTCGAAGATGTTGTGTTTTCAAATAGATAATCACATCGCAGAGACGTCGTCTCTTATCGCGAAGCACGAACAATGTAATGGTAACCTGATTGACATCGCGAGCAAGGCGAGTGATTTCCTAGAAAATGCGAAAGCCTTGTTGAAGAGAAATGACCAACAAGAGATCTCTGGAAGCAAAAAAGCGATTGAGGATGAAGTCCAAAGGCTAAACGACAGTATCCTTTTTCGAATATCTGATGCAAATTCTTTAGATGGAAACTTCAAAGAAATAGAGTTTAAGAAAATGAATGAAGAAACGAGCGGAGAAAAGATATTTGGTGTCCTTCGAGAGCCACCAACACTGAATTTATTTACTTTCGGTAATCTCCAGCAGGCCCCTACTCATTCTCATTCCACATATTGGTGGCCAAGCTATGCATCGTTACGAAGTACAAATTCTTAATCTCCAAACCCCTCATAAAGCTGCCTGTACGCCCAGTGGCATCAGTAGCGGGAGGGGGGAGTTGGGGGCATGCAGGGCCGTAACCAGAACTTTTACAGGGGGGTGCACATCGAATAAAATCGAACCATTGATCGGTTTTTATTACCAACTCAGTGGCGTAACTAGGGATCTTGCAGGGAGGTGCACAGGCAATAATTTGCAGAACCAAAAAGAAAAAAAAAAAGGTAACCAAAACAAAAAAAAAAAAAAAAAAAAAAAAAAAAAAAAAAAAAAAAAAAAAAAGGAGATGGATGAGCGGACCTTTTAGCTTTTATGGGGGGCTGCATGTGCACACTGTGCTCCCACCTGGTTACGGCCCTGGCATGTGGTACCTGAGAAGTTTTGGCGGTGATTAATTGTCGAAATATAACAAAAAAAGTAAAATATCAGAAATTAGTTTGAACGGATAAAATCTTTTACATGATTAAATTTTCTTATCAAACATTAAATGAATGAAAAATGTTTGTTTCTTTTTGTTTGTTTGCTTTTCTTCTTTTTTACTTTTTTATTCTGGGCGGCGCCGCCTTAATTCCTGTGACCTCGCTGCGCCCCTGTGCAAAGTGAATAGGGCTTGAATCAGTGTCTTGGAAACCCAAGATGTTTGTACTGGACCACAGTTCCAAGAAATTAGCGCAACTATAGTGAACAATGAACAATGAACAATGAACAATGAACAATGTACAATGTAAATGCACAATATAGGCTAGACTTTCTAACATCAAATCATAGCTGACTTATAAACAAGACTATAGCTAAACCTGTATATTATTAATGAGCGAGTCTAGATATCAAAAAGTGGTATGCATTCAACGAAGAAAGAGAACTAATTATGGTCCATTTTGTCACGCTATCGTGATGTTTGGATCAGTCTAGCGTGATGATGTTGTCACGTCATCGAAGGACTCGGTCGTCTAGTAAGTCTCAGCTGCATATTAGACCATCCAACGGTTTTGAGGTTCCAAGGTAAGTTCGAAAATTTCCCAAAATTAATTTAATAATTAATAATGAATTTTGAAATCGTTTTTTTTCTACTTCCACTTTTAACTGGAGCACATTTTTGTGTCTGCCTTGACGTACAAATATAGGTAGTTATTAACTGAATATTTAACCATCACTATCACGCTTAGATGAATATGCGATTCGTTATTAAGGCTAGTCCAGACAAAATATGACATTTTATAGAATCATATTTGATAAAGCTTTTTTAAATATGTTCACGCAATTTTGTATTTACAAATGAGCTTTAATTTAAATGGTCAAAGTTGTTCAAAGTTTCGTTAGCCTTCGTAGTTCATTAGATTGAGGTTTATAACGTCATACCGATTACTATTAATATAACTCAACGGGCAAGATTTTCATTCTAGTTTGCGCCGTAGACTTTTGGTTTACGGTAAAGACAAACTTTATAGAAACTTTAGAAATTTTAATTAAAAATATGGAATGATAATGAAATCTAGAGAGGATTTGGTTGAGCTTTATAAGAGAGTAAGGAAAAATTCCGCTTGATTTAACATGAAGATTTAAATATTTTGTTTTGATTAATATTGAGATGCTTTCTGTTGTTGACGGCGAGACAGACAGACAGCTAGGCACAATCGCGTTCTGATTGGTTATGAGGGCGTCCTTCAGAGCACACTGCACTCGCGCATATGACACTAGAGAAAAAGGTTTGCGCATGCGTGCATTTCAGCGCGTTTTCTTTTAACAGATCTAAAACCGTTTCCCGTATTTGATACTCTGATCAAAACACGCGGGATGTTGAGAGAACACGAGAGGAGCGTAGGAAACCACGACGCGGAGTGGTAATTCCAGCTTTTCCACGTTGTGCGCGTAGTATCCCACTTATTTTATAAAAGAATTTTGAAGAAGTTGAGTTAGAAAATAATTGTTTGTTTTCTCAAAGTATACAAAAAGGTTCGAGAGTATACTTTTGTCAGATCAAGATACTGTATTAACAAACACAATATGAAAGAATTAGCCTTAAGTTTCAAGCATGGACACCAAGTTTTGGCTTTTTGTGAAGTCCAATTTATCAGGCAAATTTACTTATGTTTTGACTAATTTGCATACGGATTCAGAGCATGCGCAGACGTTTTACACTCGTGTCCTCGCGCGCACTTTCAGTTTCGTCATTCTTTTCAAAAATAACGGTTATTGTTAATTTTATGAAATAAATTGAAAAACTTGCTTGATGTGCTGTGTGGAGTTATGAAGCAACACTCGAGAAGTGTCGAGACCTAACCCTTATCTCGTGTTATGCCAACCCCCGCGTGCTTTATAACTGCACGCAGCACGCGCGCGCGTTTTCTATTCTATAAATCTCTGGGCAATCTTTATCAAAAAATCTAATTAAGGACTATGAAAATGTATAAAAGACTAGTTGCAAAGGATTTAGTATTATATAAATATGTGTTGGTAGGTGAAAAACAGATATAACCTTTCTATAATGTGGTTTCCATAGCAACTAGGAGTGCAGTTAACGATTTATTGTACTTTTCTCTACCAGATTCGAGTAATTGTGTTGAGTGTGCTTTAATGAAGGAAACGGTTTAAAATTTTTTTTCCTTTCTTGCGTTCAGAATCCAACATACGAGCTACACATTCCTGATTGTTGACTGGCCCACAGCTCAACGATGCACAGGGTTTCTCTTCAAGAAAAAGATCTTTCTTGCCCTGTCTGTATTAGCATATTCGAAGAACCTAAAGCTTTGCCTGAATGCGCACATAACGTGTGTCAGAAATGCCTTAGCAATATTGCTGCAATGAGCTCTAGATGGCAGTTTGTCACGTGTCCAGTTTGCCGAGTTGACTCGTACTTACCTCCAGGGGGAGTGGCTGATCTACCGACCAATCACTTTATGAAGACTATCATTGATGGTTTACCAGGACGAAAAGAGATACAATCCATAAAGAGGGCTTTGGAACAGTGCGAGGAAGGGTTAACGTCAAGCAAATCACATGTAGATGATTGTGAACGATCGATAGCTGCTTTCAAGGCTACTTTACAAATTGCACAGCAAGCGAAAAAGGAGGTTTCTGATCACACTAAATACCTCATTGATATCATCCAAAAGGAATGCACAAGTTTGACTACTGAAATCGACGAGAAAATTGAAAACACCTCCTCGCTGCTGTCTAACGTTCGCCGAGAGAAGAAGAAGACGTTATATACTGTGAAGGAATCAGAGAATATTGTTTCTGAAACCAGACGACTCATCGAACGAGGAAATGTACAAGAAATCGTTGGGAAGGAAGACGAATCGGTCTCCAAGCTTCAGCAACGTACAGCAGTTTTAGCCGTCAATCAAACCTTTAAGTTTCCAGACGTGCCTGAAAACATCCACTTTACGAAAGCGAGTAATGAATTTCGTACAGGGAAAGGGATTCTGGGGTCGCTCAGTAGAGATTCGATAATGGAAGTTAATGAGAATAATTCGGGATCTGACCTAGAATATCTTCACGATTGGAATCCACGACAACCAATGCCCCCGTGTTTCCGCAGATCACATTCAATAAGAGGGGTCGTGAATAAGTTTGAATTAGCAAGGTTCACACTATCATCTCCGCGGCGTAGTAGTCCTCCAGTAACCTACCCGGCCGGGTCAGATTACATGTCTCTAGTACGTGGTCAAAGATCTTCATATCCGTTCACTCCATTGCCGCCGCTAACACTGCCTCGAACATCTAGCCTACGAAAATTCACGGGTTGATAAAAAACAACATGTCATCAGTTATTCCATGGTTGAGGAAATAACTGGGTAGAGTTGGCATTTCGAAGTGCAATGTCGGACTGTTTTATTGAACATATTTCCAAGATGGCGTCCCATAAAACAATCCCACAATGCACTGCAATGTCAACTCGTTCCAGTTTTTCCTCGCCCTCGTAATAACGAATAATATGCTTGGTGAAAAACCAGGAATATGTCTTTCCGATAAGATGCAGTCGAACGCACGTCATTAGATTATTTGTGAAGCACACATGATTTTTTATGCTCATTAGAATAATAGAATTTATTAAAATCGTGGTTTGTCCCTTTTAAAAAATATACAAGTATGGCCTCTAAGACTCGATTGGTGAAGAATATCTTGAAGCAGTGGAGACTCTTGTTAGTAGCTAGATAAAAGTGGTACACTTACCCTGATTATGATGACTGTGATGCCGAATTGAAATGCTCTAGTGACTGTTTCACTAGTAGAAGACAGAGCGGAAAAACCGGACGCATGCGCATTAGAGACTATTTTCATGAGCAATCCAATATGGTGGACGAARGGCGATAAAAATCTGTCTCTAATAATAATAATAATAAACTTTATTACTGTGTCATGTCGTTCTAGCTTATTTAAATAAACTAATTGGGGACACCTATCTAGAACCCTATAAAACCAATAAAAA